AGATGCCTCTTACATTTTCAACTATTCCCAATATGCAATTTCATAACTGTCTTGAACATGAGACAATGGATTTTTCCTCTTTCAACTGTGTAACAATGAACAACGATTAGAAACACTTTTAATTTCCAGCGTTTCAGGGATCAATGGCCACGGAGAAAATATGCCCTTTTCAACCAAGTTTTTAATTGTTTTCTCACTTGAAAGAGGAGCTAATTTATTACTGGCAGAGCACAAGGCATTTGTCTCATCAAGATATATCATTTTAACTCTGGGTGGATTCTAGACAATAACGCTATTTAATTTGCTGTTGCAATTAAGTGATTTATACAACTGACTAAACTATTAGTATCATACTAATACTCTGCAAGAGCTACGTTGCTATTTTCTGTGCTGTCGCACTTCTTAGGAACAGAGTGGTACAAGTTTTGTACTTATGAGCTATGCAACAATTACTTTTACAATCCACTCCATTTGCATGGTGCCTTTCATCTGACAGTCCACTACAAGCAACTGAAAAACTCTTGCATAAACTACAGTGAGCTTTATGGCAATTACTGCTGTCTTTACTGATCCATGGAGATAATTTCTTCAGCCATTGCAGTAATGCAAAGCTTCTGCTGTTTACAGGGTGGATCTGTTGATGGATGATACCATCCACAGGCGCTGTCATAGCCAAGATCTATGTAGGGCTGTTATTTGACAAGTGAAAATTATGTAAACAGTACTTAAAGTCAGTCTGGCTTCATAATGACTCTGCCTGCTCCATATACCCTGCCTACAGTGTCCAGTACAGACATCTGATATTTCATTATAAATATTGGGGATAAAAGTTATTATCAGACAGCACCGGCTTGACTGCATGATGTAATCCAGACTCAGGTACCTGGAGCTCTTTCAGCTCTCTTAGGTAGTCTGAAGCTGCTCTGGAGATAAATTCCACGTATTTCAAGAATGTCATTTTCATTTCAGTGGTTGCTGAAATAATTCCTGGGTATCTTTTTCAAGGAAATGTAAAATCTGATGGTTTTAAAAGTACTGAATATATGATAACTACTGCTCTGTGAGACCAGGAACCCAAGAAACTGTTTTCAGCAACATTCTTCTGTAGATGTGACTTATCTGACATTTGTCAGGCTCTGTAACCCCAACAGTAGCTCCCTTGTAAAACCCTGCCAGCACCAAGGGATCTCCTTTCCCATCCCAGCCCCATGGATCTGGAGTCCTCCTTCTTCAGCCTGCACAGCAGCCCAGAAAACACAAATGACACAGCATAACAAAGTCCTACAAGGGCTCCTGGAGTACTCCTCTATTTATATGTTGCTAAATCTGACTTAAAAAACCAATAACTTCCAAAGGGCTCCAGTCAAATTGCTACCTAGATGTTTCCAAGCCCAGCCGGAGCGTGCTGGCTTACTGCCACGGTTTAAATCCTACCCTCTCACAGAAAAAACATGCTAGTGCTCATATGTGGGCAGTTCCTGTTTACACAAACAATAATGTTTCCTTACTAAGTTGCAAACGCAAGAAAACAAGCATGACCTGAAAGAAGAAAACAGCATGACCTGATAGTGCCCAGCATGCAAAGCCATCCATCCATTTCAGACACGCAGCTAGCACAGAAAGGGAATAATGTGGTTTCTGAGCATTATGTTTATTTTTCCTTAAAAGACTGTTTTTTCCAGCTGAATTCTACACTTTGGGGGGGAAAGTGTTTAATCAACAGCTAAACAGCTTAGAGTGGTTCTGCAATGCCTAATTGATAGGTTTAGCCTTCCTCTCATTCATGGAACAAACGAAGTAAGAAATGGCCCATACAGTAAGAGCCCTATGGACAACTTAAGAACAAAGCAAACCTCTTAGACATGTCTCTCAGAATTAAGAAAAGATACTAGTTGTTCTCTTAGGGAGCACAGAAAAGCGACCAATGTACAGAAGAGCCAGAATGATCACATGGAATTACAGCCTGAGAGCTTTAACTCTGAGAATGCTGTTCAGCTATCACCTAACCCTAAACACATCAAACTCCTCAGCTGCTCAAATCTTAACCTCAGGCTCCCCTGCAAACCTGATGCCCCATTTCTGTCTGTCTCTCAGTTGGTTTTGGTGATGTCTGGCAGGCCCACACCTACATAAACCTGAAATCTAGAAACCAGGAGGTAAAACAGCCAACTTGAGCTGCACCAGGCTTAACTCCTCACTGCGGATAGCCAGGTTCAAAGCTGTGCTTCCACTTCGCACCAAGCAGTGACAAAGCCTCTCTCCACTAACTGCAGAGAGAGTCAGCCAGGGACTTCTGGGGCTAAAGCTAGTCTTTGAGAACAGCCCCAGATGTGCTCCTCTACCCCTTCTCCAAGGGCCTCAATTCAGCAGCATTTTCTGAACTCTGCCTCTGCCAGGCTCTATTTAAATGCAGTGGAAACTGCTTGAAAGCACCAGGAGGTGGATTTCTCCCATCCCTCCTACTCCTTTGACACGACCCCATGGAGAGAGTACACACACAACCCCACACCACCCACATCCCCCTGACCTTGCAGTGACAGCAATAAGGGGGAGAGGATAATGCTTGATATTGTCTGGCCAGAAGCATGCACTTTAAAGGCTGCTCTGCTTCACGTACCCAATTTATAACAAGGGTCAGAATAATTCCCAAGCAGCTCCCGCATCAGGGAGCAAACTAATTCCTTTCCTCCCTCCTTGGCTGCGCAGCCCTGAACGCAGCTGCACCTGAGGTTCCAGCCCACAGTCTATATTCTGCATCATAAAAGATACAAGAGAGAAATCTAAACTAGAGAAGTAATAACCTGTAAACTAATAAACCAACCCAGCACTTTGATAGCTAGGTGCTCCCAAGAGCAAGGATTATTAATGGATGTCCTCAAACACCGTGTGTCTAGTTTTCAAAGGAAGTGGGAAACATTTCGGATGCTCTGTGGATCTTACATGTTTGCTCTTACAAAACCAGCTTGGGGAAAAAAAGCGAAGTTTACGATAAAAAGCATCCTCCTTCCAGTCCACACAGAGGCACTTAAGCAGCTTAAAGAGTGGTAAGAAACCACTCAAATGAATAACAATAAAGGTATAAAGCTGCAATACTATGGGTAGGTTTTGTTATCGAAGTATGGGGCTGCAGAGTCATTGATTTTCTCTGGTAACTGAGAGAGAGACAGGCATGACTTCTGTGTCTTCGGCAGCAAAGAAAGGATCCTGGAAACCTGCAGAATCTCCAGCCAAGGACTGGATGGCTCTGAACTGCTGTCTGTCCCGATTGTTTATTTCCCTCAGATTGTAAAACGCAGTATATTAATCCTGTTATGTCTAAAGAGAGTTTGTAGTAATGCTTGCAATGTGATTAGGGATCTTCGGAGGAAAATTGCTATAGATAATGGAAGTGTAAGCACAGATACACGTTCTTCTAAGCCAGAAAACGCTGGGAAGGAGGAGGCAGGCAGACAGGGACACCTCAGGAAAGGTCCCATGATGTGCCATGGTGTGTATTCCCAAAGCTCCATCCCCTGCCTCCGTCACACAGAGCCTTCTCCTTCATTCTTTTATTTCTCTTTTAATGTATTTCCTTTCACCGATGAAGACTCAGTGCCCAGCCACCTCCTGCCATCTGCTTCTCGAGTTTGCAACATCCCACCTCAGCTCCATGCCAAAATGAGGTATCCAAACCTGTTACAGACAGCTCTTTTAGAATCATAGAATCATAGAATAGTTAGGGTTGGAAAGGACCTTAAGATCATCAAGTTCCAACCCCCCTGCCATGGGCAGGGACACTTCGCTCTAAACCGTATCACCCAAGGCCTCGTCCAACCTGGCCTTGAACACTGCCAGGGATGGAGCATTCACAGCTTACCTGGGCAACCCATTCCATAATAATAAGATAATTTGTCCCAAACTAATCCAACCCAGCATAGTGCAGTGTTTCAGTGCAAATCTGAACTAGAGCGAACTCTTTATCGTGTAAAAATAAGACGGAGTCTGGCAAGGCTGGCCAAAGATGTTCCCTGGAGTAAAACTACTCTCTGGAGAAAGCAGAGCAGGAATAAACTTCTTTATGAGTCAGGAGGCTTCACTGACAAGAGCTGCCATTATCTCCATGGAACAGGCAAAGCCTCGAGTGACTGTGGCAAGCAAGGAAGAGGAACGTTGTTTCCTCGCAGTTTTGGAAAACAGACCATTTGCCAGATTGCAAGGAGCGCAGAAGAGGCATCAAGGCTCTGGATTAACCACCAGTATAACCTGGTGCATTAAAAGGCTTTCCATGGACCTCTGCTGCTCTCTAACGGTGCTTTAAGGGATTCTCCGCACGAAGTTTAAATCCCCTCCTTGTAGCCAAGTTTTGTTACAACTTTTAGTGCAAAACAAACGAAGATTCATTAAATCCCTGATTTATTGTTACCTGAACAATTCACAGGTCAGGTCGCTATTGCTGCAGCCACAGCAGGGATAGGTTGTGTGTGGTGGGAATGACGGTAGGGAGAGGTAACACACAGAAAGTAAGTACTGGAGCCTATTTAGGTACATCAATTGTTAGTTCGGAAGGTTGCAAACCTCTGAGAAAGCCCAATCTTCAGAGCTTTGTACAAAATAGTGCTCAGAATTACTAGTCATGAGTATTTCAAACAGGAAAAAGAGCACTGGATTACCTGTGCAGTTAACAGGAAGAGATGTGTTATACGTACTGCTCATGGAACATGAACATCTAGGTTTGCACTCTTCACATGGAGGTGTTCATCTCCCATCGCAGCCCCATGGGGCAGCCGCCATCGTGCCCTCAAGCCCCACACGTCGCTCATGATGAGGACACAGCTGCTCCCATGGCCCCAAACCACACTTTATTTTGATGGGAAAGCACGCTCGGAGAGGGGCTGAACACCACCCGGTGTGTGGGAGCGGAGAAAACGGGGGTGGAAAACGGGAAAACGGCATCGAAATGAGGCCGGTGGAAGGGGCTCAGCCCCTGGGCCAGCGAGGGGCGACGTCCCTGAGAAGAACCGGGGGGGGGGGGGGTAATGGCGGCCGGTAATGGCGGAGCGGCGCTGAGGGGAGGGAAGAGCAGCAGCCGCCCCGCACCGCCGCCATCGCCATCACCCTGCGCCATCGCCCCGCGCCGCCGGCCGGCGGAGGGAGGGGAAAGGCGCCGCTTCCGCCGCAGCGGGGCGGGCCTGGGCGGAGAACGGCTGCGCGGCGGGCCCCGGTGCGGGTAGGGGCGGCAGAGGCCTCCCGGCAACCTCGGCCCGGCGGGAGGGGAAAGCGCCGCGGCCTGCGGGGCCCAGGGGTGGAAAGCGGGGCTCGCCCCTTCGGTGCCAGCGGCTGGGAGGCTGCGAGGGAAGGGAGGGCACGGCTCCATAGGTGCGGTTGCTGTTAAAGCATGATGAGCTCGTTGTGCTGTGGCGGGGCAGTATGATTTCCCATCCCACCAGGGATGTGGGGTGCTGGTCGCTGTTCCTGCACACACACACACACACCTCCGGATGCTTTTGTGCTCTGTTAACACTGGCTGTTTCAAATGAAGGATTCAGGCTTTTTATAGCCCATGGTCGGTGTTTTTAATGTTATTATTGTTACTATCGCTTTGTTGTGTTCTTTTTCATCAGCCATGGCAGCGAGTCCCATCGTGATGTCCAAGCAGCGAGAGGAGGTGGTACACGGGGTCCCGACAGAGGTGGTGTGCACGGCGTTCTCCAACTCCGTCCTCGTGGTGGTCACGCAGTACGGCAAGATGGGCACAATCGTCTATGTGGACCCCAACACAGTGGGTGACAACGTGGGCAGGCCCTCGCTCACCACAAAGGTGCTGCTGGGCAAGGACGAGGTGAGAGTGGATACACAGGCACCAGGGATAGGAAGGGGGGGATGTTGTAAGTGGGGCTGTGCAAGTTGCCAGGGGGTTGGTGGATCACAGCAGTGCACTGGTGGTTGAATTGAAGAGTCCCTTCCAAGGGGTTCATCAGAAACATGTGGTGCTCCTCTGCTCCTTGACGTAACAGAAGTTGAACCGAGTGGTTTGGGGAGCTGTTATTTCCTGTCCAAGGGTTGCTTTGCTGTGTTTATGGCAGGTTTGATAAAGCTCCTATTGATTTAAGGGTTACAGCATCAAACATGCATCCTTTGATAACCTTTTTTGGGTTTCTGCTCACAGTGAGGTTGTTTTCCTTCTTTTTTTGCCCCCCCCCATCTATGCCAGCCACATCATGGACTTTAGTTGCCCTCTCCCAACTGTGCCTGCCAGCACCTTCCCTTGAGAAAGTTTAATTTGTTTTGCTTCAACAAAATGAGTTTTTATCGACCCTTTCACAAACCTGGAGAGAAAGCAGAAGAAAATGTATTTCACAAAGCGTCAGCTAGTCGACCATTAAAGCACAAAGTTACAGCGCTACAATATGAGGCTTTCCATCAGAGTTGGAGCTATCAAATATTACTTTCTAACCTGAACTAGAAAATCTGTAGCAACACAAGTTCTTGATTCTAGCTGCAGCTTCCCCTTATGGAGTTCTTGTTCTTCAGTGATAGACTCCCTTCTCTGGGAGGTGCTTTTCTTTCCCAGGTATGATGTCTGCTAATCCTGACCCCCTCCATCCCCAAGCTGGTTTTGTGTTTTATGTGGAGATGGGAAGTGTCTTTGTTTTCTTTGTAACATCGTATTTCTAAATCATTTTGCCAACCTTATTGATCAGACTTTAAGGAAAGGCTTTCACTGGTTTGCTGTCTTCCTGCTTGTCCCCATTAACAACCCCACTTGGGATGGTGCACACTTCCATACCACACTGGTAGCTGCAATCAAGTGCATCCTTCTGATAAAATACACGACTGTGGGTGTAAATAAAACCTAGACAAGCTGAATGGGTCAAAGCCACAGCAGTGAAGGTTCAGACTGGACATTAGGAAGCACTTCTTTACCAAGAGGATACTCAAACATTGCAACAGGCTTCCTGGAGAGGTGGTCGATGCCCTAAGACTGTCAGGGTTTAGGAGGCATTTGGATAGTGCCCTTAATAATATCCTGTAACTTTTGGTCAGCTCTGAATTGGCTTCAGGTCTGTAGTAGATGATTGTTGTAGGTCCCTTCCAACTGAAATGGTCTGTGCTATACTGTTCTGTTTTTTTCATGTTAAAGAAACCTTATTAAGAAGATAATCCGCCTCTTCTTCCCTCCTTCAGCATCACTACGTAGTTCTGGTTTTTATTATTCTATTAAAATCAAAACCAACACGTCTTTTACACATGCTGTAAAAGACTAAAAAAAACACTATTTTGGGGTCTTTAGGAACTGCAAAAGTAAGTTTTTTTTACCGAGCTTGTGTGTTAACATACCTTCATCAGCAACAAGGTTTTAAACAAAAGCTGCACTCGGAGACTTCTTCAAAACTCTGGTTATGATGGAAGCAGAGGCATTTTGATCCATGGCATTTCATATAATTTGATATTTGGTAGGTGGGAGGATTAGTGGAAGGAAATTGATGGTTAGGGTGGGAGGATTAGTGACAGGAAAGCTTCTCTGTACCAGCTTTCGAAGATATCCAGGCTGGTGCAGAACTCGATTAAAGTGCAGCTCCAGCTCAGTTGTTTCAGGGTGGTTTGGGTGGCTGTCACTCCTATGTCCAAACTCTTCCCTTTTAAGCCAGCTGGGCGCATACTTTGGCTTTGCTGACCAGCCAGACTCCGTGTCTGTTCCCAATCATGTTGGAACCTCTCAGCAAACTGCATGCTCAGTCTGAGTCCAGTATCATAGAATCATAGAATCTCAGACTGGTTTGGATTGGAAGGGACCTTAAAGCTCATCCAGTTCCACCCCCCTGCCACAGGCAGTGACACCTTCCACTAGATTAGTTTGCTCCAAGCCCTGTTCAGCCTGGCCTTGAACACTGCCAGGGATGTATCAACAGGTTCTCAACACGTTCCATGTCATTGCAGGACTCTCCCAGCTCATGCAGGAGAGTTCTCCCAGCTGTGATGGTGTACATCTGTATGCCTTTGCTTTTCAGCCCCTCGTTCATGTTTGTGCCAAAAACCTGGTGGCATTTGTGTCTCAGGAAGCTGGGAACAAACCCGTTCTTCTCGCCATGGCTTTAAAGGACAAGACCATGGAAGGAATACAAGCTCTACGGGAAGTGATCCGAAGTTGCCAAGTGTGGTGAAGTTGTGCCATCTGGATTCAAGGAAATGATCTTGAGTCTGTGACTCATCACCACCTATTTAAAAGGACAAGAAATGAAAATGATGGAATGTCTTTGTGCTGGTTTTGGACGAACTGAGGAATTTCATGAATTTTTCTCTACTGTGTAGAACATTTGTGGGTTTTGTTACTGTGACAGGTTTGCAGTCCATACAGTCAGTGATGAGACGAGGGCAATTGTCTCAACATACAAGAGAAGTGTTATTTTAATCGCATTGGGTGGGCTGTATATTTGGGAAGTGGCGTGGCTCTTGCATTTGTATCCTGAGGAGCGATGGATGCCAAGCTCTGGAGCTACACTGCACCGCAGAGGGGGAACACCCAGTGCATGGTGAATAAAAAGAAACATTGACAAATCTAATTTTACCTGTTTTTCTTTTTTGCTCTGTGAAAATTGCTTCAATTGAAATACAAGCCTGTAACGAATCAACAGCAGTTGCATAATAGGAAAGCTTTTCTTGCTTGTTTTTAAGGAAATGAGTCCTATACGACTGCTTTTGTCCTCCTGTCAGTCCCTTTCCTCATGCAGTCGGAATCCATTTTCCACTTTTGCTCTGGTTTTAAAGAGAGGCAGATAATTATGCTCTGCAAATTTCATGAAAGCTGACATCAGGGTGGAAGACAGGAGCCCAATTTAGTGATGAGAAGGAGACAAATAAGAGCTGCTCATGCATTATGTGGTACCAGCACATCAGAGAGGCAGCACATACCTCGGTGGGACCACTTGCAACAAGCTGTCCCTCTCCTGAAGCATCTGTCATAGGAGACATGGGGACAAAAGTGTTTTGGGGGGTTACACATGGGTGTTTCTCCCAAGTCTGTTGAAATAAAAGCGTTCAATGAAGTCATATGAGTTGATGCAATGCTTAATAGCCAGGCTTTGCTTGAAAACACATTTGTTTTTACCTCTTCTTGTAACAATACCAAGTAGTATATTGTTAAATGAGCTGTTACACGCTTCTGTCACTTGTTGGCAGAGCAGAATAGAGGTTAGGACTTGGATTCTGAGCAGGCAAAGCCTGTGTTGCATTAGGACCTGTTGGTCGGGCAGAACCAGCCCAGAGCCTCTGCCTGCCCCACGCAGATCCAGCTGCCGGGATGTTTCTGTTGCTAAAAAAAATCCCCTACAAGTAGAAAAGCAGAAAGTGGCTTTCGAAAGGACTCTTTTCTCTGAAGTCATTTACAGCAGTGAAGGGATTATGAGAAATGAAACTTTAAAAGTACATTCAGGCACTGCAGGCTTGCAGCTGCCCCTGACAAGAAATTTCATCTAAAAATAATTCTCCAAACTGTGCTTCCAAGAATCAAAGATTTGCATCTGTCAGAGCTCCACATTTTCCCTCATTTATGCTTTTTTACTGGTCTAGGAAGGCTGAGAGAGGCATGTGGAATTTGTTAATGACGATGCTGGTTTGTTAGTAGAGATTCTTTCCCAACATGTATTGGGGAATACATGTATTACATGTATACAATCAATGTATTGCCCAAATCCTGGCCCTCTTACGGCATCCACAGCTCCAGCAGCGTGTGCAAACCATACATTTATTAGCAAATTGAATGCAAATTGCATCTTCCACAGTGGTGATACGGTGGCAAACCACCGCTGTGTCCTGAAAACCTGAGTGCTGCTACCAAAGAGCCAACCACGAGTTAACCACCTTCATTTCCTGGCTCTGTGTGCTACCAGGTCTGCACAGGGTGACAAGAAAGTACCTTTTCAGCTGAAAACTGGCTTTCAGATAATGCCAGGGCATGGGGGTTATTTCCCTGCCCACCCTCTCCATACTACCCTCAAGGCCACCAAGGAGGAAGGACCTATAGCACATAGCTATAAATTGAGGCAGGACAGCATCCATCTCTCCTTAAAGCCTGTCCAGAGGAGTGGGTGATGCACACACAGGGCTCTTGCTGTGCTGGTCCTATGGGTGCTTTACCTGAAAGGACCGATTTGGTGTTGGAAACAGGACACACAGATCTTACTGCCTTTCCAGGTGTGATAAATTAGACCATGGGCAACAGGTCCTTAGCTTTGCAGTAAACCAAGGGGGAGGCCTGCCTCAAACAGCAAGCACCGGTCTGCCGATGCCATCGCTTTCCTGTAGGTGAGGATTAACTCCCAATTGCAATACAACCTGCCTTTGCCCTGCGGGATGCGTGCGGGTGTCAGGCTGCGCCATGGCTTTCCGTCCGTCCCTGTTTGCTTTCCGGGTTGGGTGCCGAGCGTGGCAGACTGGAAAGGTAAGTTGGGTGGCTTTTCCGACCTGCCGCTCCGGCTGCGGGCTGCGGGCTGCAGGCAGGGTGAGCTGACAGCGGGCAGGGCTGGGAAGGTGCCCGGAGGAGGAGTCTCCACCGAGCCGCTGGAGGAGGGCGCAGGGGATGCGGGTGCAGGTGCCCGGCAGCCAGGCCAGCTCCTGGAGCAGCCCCGCAGGGTGAGTGGGGTCCTGGGAGGGGGGGACCGGCATGGCAAAAGCCCTGTGTGTGGGGGGCACCCACTCCTTTGGGATTGCCTTGAGGAGAGATTGATGCTTCCCTGTCTCAATTCATAGCTATGTGCTATAGGTCCTTCCTCCTGGGTGGCCTTGGGGGTGCTATGGAGAGACTGGGCAGGGAGATAACCCCCGTGCCCTGGTGCTTTCTGAAAGCAATCACGAGGAAGGGCATGTCTCCTGTGGTGGGGCTGAGCCTGGATGTGGGTGATCCCACCGCCAGGATGGGGTTTAGGGATCTCTCCCCCCTGGGGGGGGGACTAGGGTGGGTGGACTAGGGGTTTGCCTTTCCTTTCTGACTGCCCCAGGCTCACGGGAACAAGGTGGGATTTGTCCTGTGTGCTTCGGGACATGGGAGGGATGTGATGTTCTGGCAGCCTGTGGATGGGGGAATCCCTGGCAAAGAAAAAGCCCCCCAAGCCGGTTTCACTGCTCAGTTTACCTTCTGCTCCGTGCTCACTTAGCAGCCCTAATACTCCATGGAGTGAGGGTAACAGGTAGGCATGGCAGGTACCTGCAAAGTGGCTGAAAACACCCAGACTGGACGTGGCACTGGCACTGAGAAGCTGAGTTTTGCTGCTAATATTGTTCTCTGTCTCCTTGCCGCCTTTGTTTTGGAAGCAAATGTCCCTCTAACTGCATTGAATTGCCCAGCTACCTTGCATGGCCGGGATCTAATTACCTGCGGAGCTGGGAGCCCCGTCTCCAAGCGGCACCGAGGCTTTTGTGTTTAATGACTTGCTCCGCCACGTTCAGTGTGTGACAGTGTCGGGGAGCCTGCCAGGGACCGGCTGCTGGAGCCACTGTGCTCCTACCGCCATGCCTGGGAAAGCTAATAGGGGTTGGGATGTCTTGGGCCAGGCACCTGTGGCACAGGGATGGGTTAAAAACAAGGTAAATGGGTCTAGCAATGAGCATGGCTCTCCGTTGTGTGCTGGGAAGTGAACTGGATCCTTCCCTGTCGTGATGTTCGGGAAGAGGGTTCAGGTTTAAACAGAGAAAGTTCAGGTTGGATATAAGGAAGAAGTTCTTTACTGTGAGGGTGGTGAGGCACTGGAACAGGTTGGCCACAGAAGTGGTAAATGCTTAAATGCTCCATCCCTGGCAGTGTTCAAGGCCAGACTGGACAGAGCCTTGGGTGACATGGTTTAGCATGAAGTGTCTCTGCCCGTGGCAGGGGGCTGGAACTGGATGATCTGAAGGTCCTTTCCAACCCTAACCAGTCTGTGATTCTATGACTCTATGGGGTCCATGCCCAAACCCAGCCTATGGCCCCAGCCAGCAGCAGGGCAGCCCCCAGGAAGTGTGAGGACTGTTGGGGAGCGGGGCACAGCTGAGCTCTCCCCTCCCTCCCCTGCCATGAGCTATCTCCCTCCTCCTGTTAATGTTTACAAGGCAGGTCCGGCAGCGTCATGGTCTGAGCAAAGACCAGGTCCCTGCCCGGCTCTCCCTTCTTCCTGCTGGCAGGGGCAGGGCCGCGGGACAGGTACAGGGAGGCCAAGACCCTAATCCCACTGCCTCCTCCATCCACTTTGCTTCCCTCCATCCACGCATCCACCTCCGGCTGTGCTTCCCCGCTCGCAGGTACTGCGGGTGAGCTCCTGGTTCCTCGCCAGCTCGCTGCTGCCCCGGGCATCTCCGCTTACAGGCAGCTCCTGCCAGGTGGAGGGAGGGAGGGGGGAAGGTATTTTTAGGGCTGTTGATCTGACACCAGCTGAGTTTCCTCCCCTGTGAGGCTGGGGTTCGGGCAGAGGGCAGCAGAGGCAGCCACAGGGCGAGCTCTCCCTTTGGTTTTCTGTGTTTAAACGGACCAAGGCCAGTCCCTACCACTCTGATCTGCGGCAGATACTTCCCTGCTTCTCGCCAGTTCATGCTTATGGTTTTATCTGCAGGCAGTTGTTACCCAGCAGCTGAAATCGTTGTTTATGAATGCACTGAGAAGCATCTCTACAGTTAGAGCTCTGCTTGCAGGTCATTGGTTTTGGTCGGGGTTTTTATAAACCACTATTGTGGTGCTTGGGAAGAAGCAGCTTTCTGGAGATTAGCAGAAAGAAGAGGCCAAACGTGGCAGTTTGCACATCTGTTGGCCTTGAGATATGAAGCTGCCCTATAAATAAGAGTGTATTATTAGGCTGGTCCTTGCTGTCTGGAGCCGCAGGGTACACGGTGCCCTTATGCCCCAGCCGCTCTCTGTGCTGGGAATGCTCCACACCTTGGGGCAATGCTTCGAGGAGGACAGACCTGCTGGGGAGATGCTGGCGCACTGCAGCATCCCCAAAGGGCAGCAGCTCTGCTGCAGCATGGCAGGCTTGCTCTCTGGTGCTCAGTTTGGTGCAGGAGGGGGCACTGACTGCCCTTCAAGTCTTGGAGTTGGCATTGATGGCACACCAAGACCCCCATGATCCCAAAACGGCCAAGGATTTGTTGGCCAAACAACCTGGGTGATGTCAAACATTCTTGGGCAGCCTTGGACTTTGCCTCCATCAGGCCATGCATAATGAAAGGAGCTACATTTGGGAGGGGATCACAGGTATTCTTGTGTTTTCTGGGCTCCCAAGGAGGAGGAGGATGTAAGTGTCCAGATGGTGAGTAAGTAAGGGACTTGTTATTATCATGGGTGAGGGATGAGTTTAACCCTTAAATATCTGGTTCCTGATGGAAAAGGGTCCTGAGCAACATGAGTGAACTCACAGCGACACAAACATAGGCAGGTTTTCCATTACAAGTGGGATAAAGACCCCTGAGGAAGCAAGAAGCAAGGCTGGGAAGGAGAAGCATGTGTTCTGGGGGCACGATGCTTGCATACACCTCCTGCTCTTGAAGGATGTTTGCATTTTCCTGCTGTTTACATCTTCCAGCCATCATAAATAGGCTG